GGTAACGCGTCCGAGTGAACGTCCCAAGGTAGCCTGGCTTTCCTGGGGAAATACACACCTCAGGATTCCAGGAGAAAGGGTATCGGATATACCGCTTACTCCCCACCTGTACGGAAAACAAAGTTCTGTGTGCTACACTGGCGATTTGTCTGTAAGTCTGAGATTGTTTGAAAAGGGGGAAGAAGGAGGAAATTTTAAAGAGAGGAAGAAAAAGCAAACTATAAATAAAGAGAAATAAGGAAAAAGATGGTTGGTGTCCCAGAGCTACCACACAACATGAAGGGAACCCACATGGCTCCCTGGTTGAGGCAGGCCCCTGGACTCTGCCCTTGGACTGGGAAGCCCTGGACCGTGGAAACAAGACCAAGAGGAACGCAGGCCAAGCCCGAGCGGCCCAGGTGGCCACGGGCCGTGCAGGCTGCTGCGGGATAAGCCCCGGGCACCTGGGGCTGTCTCGACCTCGCTGCAGTGCAGCACTCACCATGGCATAGTAGTTGCTGTTAACCATGAGCGGCCCTCGACCTCGGAGGTAAACGTACTCCTCCCACCAGTCACTCACCTGTAGGGCAAAAAGCAGACCGACAGAGCCAGGCTGAGCAGGTGTGACGCAGCAGGGTGGGCCACGCGGGAGGGCTCCCCATCACATGTACTAGAAGGGCCCGGGTGGTGCTAGCAGACAGCACCTGGCTAGTAAGGAGCTCTGGTGGCGCGGCTGGTAAGGCGTTTGGTTGCTAAGCAGAAGGTCAGTGGTTCAAACCCACCAGCTGCCCCGTGGGAGGAAGATGAGGCGAATGACTTCCACAAAGCCTTGGAAACCCAATGGAGGTCGCTATGAGACGCATCAACTCAATGGCAGTGTGCTTGGTTTAGTGACCAGGAGGCTGGTGGTTCGAACCCACGCAGCAATGCTGCAGAAGACAGTCTGGTGGCCTCCTGTCGGGACCACGGCCGCACAAACTACACAGCAACTCTGCTCTGCACACGTGGGGGCCCGCGTCACCAACGACCAAAGCGAACTCAACAACGAGGAGCTGGACACCTGATAGCACCCACCGGGCCATTGCAACGGCCACCCCGAGCCAGCGCGAGAAAGTGGGCAACGCAGGGGGTTCTCGTTTACTTTTTACCTTTTTATTGTGATTTGTAAGAAAGCTTACAGAGCAAATTCGTTTTCCATTCAACAGTTCATACGCATTTTGTGACTGCGGTGTAGTAATTACCTGGTGTGGCTTTTCTAGCCGTTGTTGTTGTTATATGCTGTCAAGTCGGACCTGACTCACAGCGACCCCTCCTTGGGTTTCCGAGGCAGTACCACTACAGAAGTAGATTGCCCCATCTTCCTTCGAGGAGTGGCTGGTGGGTTTGAACCGCCAGCCTTCTGGTTAGCAGTCATGTGCCTTAGGCACTATGCTACCAGGGTTCTGTGGTGGGATTTGCTGTGAGCAACCGAGTAGCTCCTGATCATGAAAGTTATCCATCTGGGGTATTGCTGTTGGGAGCAGCACACAGTAATTTTCTGGGAAGTTCACCCTCTCTCGGGTGTATGAAATTCTGATGTTGGGATTGGTTAGTGCTCACTCTGCCAGGCTCAAAAGGAGCCCTCCTAGCAGCAGCAGGAGTCTCTCTATTGGCTGAGAAAGACGTGCTGCTGAGAGAAATGCACCCAAGACGTGAGACACACGCTGCTGAGAGAGAGACGTGAGAGACACGCACACTGAGAATGCGATGTGCTACCGGGACGGCGGCTGCCGAGTGAGACGGCGGCTGCAAGAGACTGAGTGCTTTTCTGAACTTGGGTTGTAGCCTGCTGCTTCCCTAACAAACCCCATAATCTGTGCCGTGGGAGGAACGGCTGGTGTCAGGGTTGGTGAACGTGGAGGGAGGCTGTATGTCCGGCCTCACAGGGATAGGCCTTGGGCTACTGATGGTGATTCTGTCCTCTTCTTGTGGGGTCAGAGGAGATCAGAAGATGTGGCCTCCCTGCCCCTTGGGCAGTGACACTGTATTCAGTCCCTACAACATAACAGTCCTCTTCCTACTTCTTCCCGGTGGTTACCACCTCCCTTCCTCCTCCTTTTCTCCAGGTGATTAAAAAAACAAACTCACTGCCGTCAAGTCAGTCCCACTCACGGCAACCCCTCCTTGAGTTTCCAAGGCAGTATCACTACGGGAGTAGATTGCCCCATCTTCTTTCCGAGGAGTGGCTGGTGGATTTGAACCGCCAGCCCTCTGGTTAGCAGTCAAGTACCTTAGGCACTACGCCACCAGAGCGCCTCCCTGGTGACTAAAAAAAAGGACTACTTTAAAACAACGGGGAAAACAGAGCAGGGCAGCAGGCTTAAGCTGCTCACGAGGACGGCGGAGAAACGTCTGTGAGCAGGGCTCCTGGGAATGTACCCCGGGGACCCCAGAGCCATGACTCTGTCCTGCCGGCATCACACGCCCGTTCTCCCAGGCTGGCCGGGACCCTCCGTGCACGCAGCCCCGTGTGGTCAGCCCCTTGCAGGTGGGGTGATATACCGCTATTGTCCCCGGCTACCGGCGAGTCATTTCCCACTCCACAGGACCCCACGTGTGCAGAGCAGAACTGCTCCCTGGGGTTTTCAAGGCTGTGAGGTTTCAGGAGACTGACAGGCCTGCCTTCCAACGTACCCCCGGGTGGATTTGAACCATCAACCTTATGCCTAGTAGTCGAGCACCTAGCTGTGAAGTCATTGCTGCGGCTGCAGGTGGGAGTAGCCCCCTCTATACGCTGCATGAAACCATCACTCTAAGCGGACAGGAGACGCAAGTGCAATGCTGTGGGTCAGCAGCTCTCCCTGCCCCCCGAATTCGCATTTTCACACGGCCAGTGTGTCCAGAGACAGCAAGGGGTGCACTCACGTAATTCGTAGCCCACCAGGACTTCAGCTTCAGGTACCACTGCAGTCTTGGTCCAAGGTTGACGGCAAAATCCTCAGCCAGCTCTGTCATCCGTCTGAAGTCATCCTCTTTCATCAGAGGCCTCACAGACTCCAGGTACTGGGGCAGGGGAGGAGAAGGCAAGGTAAGCACTGTCGGTCAGCACCTACCACACCCTCACCTGTGCCTGGAGAAAACATGGCGGACAGAGAAGAGCAAACACCTTCCCAGAAGGCTCTGCTGGTCCTCAGACAAGTTAATGACCCGCAGCACTCCATGAGGCTGCAGATTAGGAATAAACTACTAAACTTCTTTACCCATTCTGACCGACAGCGCCCCTAGAGGACAGAGTGGAACTGCCCACAGGGTCTCCAAGGCTGTCAATCTTCATGGAAGCAAAGCCCCAACCACACCCACTGCCTGGAGTCCATTCTG